GTACAAAAGGAGCACAAATGGTCTCACCTACATTAACAAAGCAACCATTTAGTCTGTTTGAGTTTTTCCACGTGGATGGGGCGCCAGCTTCACGCAGCTCAAGCTCCACCTATTTTTTGACTTACTTAGTGATGAAAACACTGCAGTGCTTTCAGTACAGAGTATCACGATGCTCACAGACATCTGACCTCTGACACCCCGCTCGGTCTGAATGAACTTTAAAGGAAAAGTCTGGTCAGAAAAGAATAACCAATTATCTCTATCTAAAACTAATACATTCACAGTGTGCTAATGAATTTAATGTTAATCAGTAAAAAAGACTAAGTATTTGCAATTACTGAGTCTTGGAGCGACCGTTTTTGCCGAAATATAGTAACAACTCACTCCTGACATCTTCCAGCAGTGACGTCACGGTGCTGTTAAGCCTAACGCCATTCTCCCTGCTTTATGAGCAAAATCAATGTCGGAGGACGAAGCTGCCAGTATCGAACACAACCACTATTTATTTAAAATTTAAACTTTCTGTATCACTGTGAGGCCCAGACCTTCATGGGTACATTACGTCCACTAAACGGACTCTAGCGATCATAATGCGACATGAAATACAAGTTCCTATCCCAAAAATCAGTTCAAGCCGAAAAGCTCTCAAATAATCGAAATAAAATAAACATTATTCTTCTGTTTATGTCTCCCCAAAAAAAGACCTCTCGTTTTGTGATAAGTTCCAGTATTATAGAGGAACTTCTAACCTCCATTTTCCCGAAGCAAGGAGCTCCTTATGGAGACTACTGAGTCCAGATGTTTATTCCCAGTGGTTCTTGCTGTTCTTTCATTGGATCAATAAAACAAAACTTAAAGGTGAAAGAAGGATTTTTAATTTCCAGCTATCACAGAACAAAAATCGGGGAGCAGCTCCATCCCCTGTGTGGTCCCAGCATGGTTTAATGGTACCGGTAAAGGTTCTCACAGGGAAACAGCAGACATTTAAGAAACATTACAGAAGAACAGCACATTCAATAATGAACTGAGGTGAGAAAGCATTTCAGGAGTTCAGCTGTTTCCTTTTTAGTAGAAGACAAAAACAAAGATTGCATTTGGTTCAAACCTAGAAAAATAAGTAACTGCAACAAATTCATGACAAACTCCCTCTGCTGTTAACCATGAGTCACATATATGACAGGAAGCAACACAATAAAACAATAATCACAGCAAAGAAAGGACACACTGAGTTTTGAAATCAAAACTCCTGGATGATGTCATTACAGGAAGTAACAGACTCCTAGATGATGTCAATACAGGAAATATTAGTCAGACTCCTGGATGATGTCATTACAGGAAGTAAAACTCTTACTCCTGGATGATGTCATTAGAGGAAGTAACATTCTTACTTCTGGATGATGTCATTTCAGGAAGTCACATTCTTACTCCTGGATGATGTCATTACAGGAAGTAACACTCTTACTCCTGGATGATGTCATTACAGGAAGTAACACTCTTACTCCTGGATGATGTCATTACAGGAAGTCACATTCTTACTCCTGGATGATGTCATTACAGGAAGTAACACTCTTACTCCTGGATGATGTCATTACAGGAAGTAACATTCTTACTCCTGGATGATGTCATTACAGGAAGTAACACTCTTACTCCTGGATGATGTCATTACAGGAAGTAACATTCTTACTTCTGGATGATGTCATTTCAGGAAGTCACATTCTTACTCCTGGATGATGTCATTACAGGAAGTAACACTCTTACTCCTTGATTATGTCATTACAGGAAGTAACATTCTTACTCCTTGATGATGTCATTACAGGAAGTAACACGCTTACTCCTGGGTGATGTCATTACAGGAAATAACACTCTTACTCCTGGATGGTGTCATTACAGGAAGTAACAGACCCATTGACAATGTCATTACTGAAAGTAATGCTCTGACTCTTGGACGATGTCATTAAAGTGAAGTAACGGTCAGACTCCTGGATGATGTCAATACAGGAAATATTAGTCAGACTCCTGGATGATGTCATTACAGGAAGTAACACTCACACTCCTGGATGATGTCATTAGAGGAAGTAACATTCTTACTTCTGGATGATGTCATTTCAGGAAGTCACATTCTTACTCCTGGATGATGTCATTACAGGAAGTAACACTCTTACTCCTTGATTATGTCATTACAGGAAGTAACATTCTTACTCCTTGATGATGTCATTACAGGAAGTAACACGCTTACTCCTGGATGATGTCATTACAGGAAATAACACTCTTACTCCTGGATGGTGTCATTATAGGAAGTAACAGACTCATTGACGATGTCATTACTGAAAGTAATGCTCTGACTCTTGGACGATGTCATTAAAGTGAAGTAACGGTCAGACTCCTGGATGATGTCATTGTAGGTAATAATGAATGGATAATCTGAGAGCTGAATTATATATATATACAAGTAACACACCGACTCCTAGATGATGTCATCAAAGTCTCCTGGACTATTTTTTTAGAAAGTAACAAGCTGACATCTGGATGATCACAGGAAGTTACTAAATGACTGATGGACAATGTCATCAAATAAATGATGTCAGCGCACAAAGCACAACAGCAAGCTAAAAGAAGAAGAGATTCATCTGGTTACCTTAGCAACCACTAATAATTACTAAGCAATGCAGCAGCTGCTGAAAGAGACAGAATAATAAATTAACCAACAAGAATTTGATAGAGAGATTACAAATGAAACAAGTAATAAGTTTTTATCCTTAAAATAAATTATATAAAATCAAAAGTAAGTTTTATAACTTTCTATTTTGTACATTTTAGACTTTACTGAGTCCAGGGGCGTTGCTAGGCACAAAGCTTTACTGGGGCACTGGCCCCCTACCGCATATGCCCCTCCTGCCATACACAAATACAGACAAGCACACTGCCCAACCCTGATACATTCCAACCAAAATTACCAGTTGAGATATTAATAACTGTAAGAGCATATTTGTTTTAACAAACATGAACATTTTCAACATTGCAGCTATAAAAAATAAGACATTACCAACTTTAAAAATAAAACGTTTCCTTATACACATTCTGAAGTAATCATTAATTTCTAGGTTTCAGAGTTTTAGTTCGGGGGAAATGTTAACTCATCCTGAACTAAGTTCAGGATGAGTTAATTTTTTGAGCATTAAAGTGTACCTCCTATTTATCATTTTTGCAAAGCAGTCAATCACTTGACTGTGACTCAGCTTAGAAAGTTCTTCCTTTTCAACTGATAAAATAGCAAGATGATGGAGCCTGTCTTGTCCCATTGTGCACCTCAGCCAAGTGTGGAACCTTCTCAACACACTGAATGACCTTTCATAACAACAGCTTTTGACTGGGATTGTGAGGGAGATCTGGATGACCTGTGTTAGTCTTGGGAATATGATGTTATCAAGCAAGTTGAAAACACACTGCATATCCTTGATGACAAGGCTTTCTTTTTCAATCATAAAAAGCTTTCAAACCATTTTGAATTAAACAAACGTTTTTTTTACTCCAAATTTGTGCTGGGGATAGTGGGATAACTTCACTTGTTTAGGACCATCATGCTTTCCCCCTAAGTCACTAATGTCCCCTTCTTATTTGTGGAGGCTGGTTGTTGCTCCCTCATCACCTTCATGGTCCTGTATCTCCTGTCTCTCACCTGTCTCTTGCCTGTCAGTCTCGCCTCATCCTCCCTTTCCTACTCCAGCACCTTCATTCTCATCCTCTACAGCAAACATTAAAAAACGTAAATCTATAATTATGTAAATATCTATCATATTGCTTATAACGTCCCTAATGTAACTGCTTAGCTTAAATCACTAATTCATCACGGGACCTTACCTCCCTCTCTCATCTTGTTTTACTGCTTCCCTGTCTCTGCTTCGTGTGAGGAATTTCCTGATATCCATCTACAAACCAATGCAGTCATTTTCAGTTAGTAGCCTATAAATCATGTGGTTTCACTGGGAAAATAATAAAATTGACAGGTAAGAAACGTTACCAGAACTAAAAATGCGTCGCGGCCGCACAGTGTCCCATCCAAAACAGTTGAGAGCAGTGTGTTAGTTTACCTGCAGTTCATGCAGTGACATGCGCTGACGTGGGGGCGCTAATTCATCCTCAATTTGGAGTTAACAACACACTTGCTGCGCGTTGGAATTATCTAAATTGATGCATTAAAAAATGTAATACTGTTGCAAATATTCATGAGATTTATACTGGGGCACAGCTCATTTATACTGGGGCACGTGCCCCAGTAAATGGGGTCTGGCGACGCCGATGACTGAGTCACTGAATGAGAACAGATTAAAAGAAAACTTTATTCACAGCTGTCTGAAGTGTAACTCACCCCAAAATCTACTTTTTCCCCCCAAATAAACTGTATTAACTTGGTCTATGGGGTGGTATTATATCACCGTTTATTTTTTGCCATTTTCATGTAAACCTCTTTAATTCCACAATATTCAACTTAAAATATCTTAGTGCTGATCTCTTAGGGCTATTGCAGCTGAATTTGACTATCCAGTCAAACTGTACAATCTTACATCATCATATCCAGTGTTCGGGTTCAAAAGCATCTTACTCAAACAGACGCCCCCGTAGTGCATCATCCTGTCCTCCACTACCAAAGCAGCACAAACATCAGGCATTGCTGAGTTAATGACTTGAACAACAGTTCCCACTGATAAGGCTCTGGTCAACTGGACCAGACCTTCAGTAACCAGTTCTTATAATTAGAATAAATGAATTAAAATGAAGGTTTTACAGGTCAAAAGCCTCTCCTGACCTCCTTTGGTGGTGGGAGTGAAAATCCCCCTTAAAATATCCATTCGTGGTGTGACTACCAGCATTCCTCTGCTAACTCTCCTGCAATAATTTAAACTGAGTCAGATGCTACTTTACCTCATCCTGACCACCCTTCATTAACCTACTGCTCATTCCTACAATAAGCCCTGCCCCCCAGCGAGTTTTGGCACTTACCACTTGGGTGGCTTTTTTTTTTTTTTTTGTCTGGGGGCGGGGTTATGCATATAAATCATGGTGAGTTACACTTTAACTATTTTATTCCAGTCTGAAAGGAACAGCACCTCCTGGACCACAAGTAAAATCAAGTCCCCACTTAATGACCCCCAAACACGAAATACCTGAACAGGTGTGAGGCCTCTGCAGGCAGTTATGTTTATTACACCTCTGACATGAGGGCAGCAATTCAGTTTAGAGGTTGTGGAACTGCATTGGGCCTGCTTTGGGTAGAGCATAACAACTAACCAGCTCAATTAACAACAAGGTTAACCAACTAATGAAATAAAAGAAGAATGAAACTATTTCAGGTGTGGTTTATGTCAGTAGAGGTAACTGTTTCAGTTCCTGTAGTAGTCTAGTGCTAGGATTATTCGGTGGGTTAGCGCCACCTTAGTCGGACCACTCCTGGTCCTCCGGTTCAGACTCCTCCTCTGATTCGCTGTACTCCACAGCGATGCGGCGTGACAATATCGTAGCCACATCGTTTCCTGAAGGTTCTCTTTTCTTGGCCTCTTCCTGCTCACGCTGCTCCTGAACCTTCCTCAACTGGATCCCTACAGACCAGAAGACACCAGAAAATGTACGTTTTTTTTATATACATTACATCCCTCTGAAACTGAGCTGCTGCCCCTTTGGCTGCAATCTGAGAACATATCTCCACGTACCTCTACAGCTGTATTTTTAGTTTCACAGACCTCTCTGCAGCTTCTCTGCTACGCTACACACCCATTACTCTATTCAGAAATTGTCTTTTCAACGGCTAAAAACGTATAAAATTAAATCTACAACCAACCTTAGTCCTGAAAAACTCATATAACGGATTTAAGTTCCAACTTAAGAGGAAATTAAAACAATTGAATGTGATTTACTAAACATTAGATCTATCTATTTATATCCTTTTTTTAGTTTATTAATTGTGTGAGGGATTTACCCCCTTACTGAACCCCAGTCGACCTCACACTGAGCCTGGTTCTGCTGGAGGTTTCTTCCTGTTAAAAGGGAGTTTTTCCTCTCCACTGTCGCTACAAGCATGCTTAGTGTGAGGGATTGTATTTGAGTCAATGAGTCAATGCAATCAACTGGTTTTCCTTACATAGAAAACTTTGTATCAATTTGACTGCATGATCTGGTTGAACTGTAAAGTGCCTTGAGATGACATGTGTTGTGAATTTGGCGCTATATAAATAAACTGAATTGAATTGAATTACTAATTGGTTTTGTAAGCAGGCATTTCCTGTCTTTCAGAAAAATTGTGTTATTGGGGGAAGGTTTACGTTTTTGTCTTTATTGGTGTAACTTGTATATATATTTTTGGTTCTCATTACTCTGTTTTTCTTTGAGGTTGCCTGGTCAGGTGTTGCCATGGAAGCACGCCCATGAGCAGTGCTGACAAGGACCTGTGTATCCAATCAGCCTCATAAGGGAAATCCATACTGACTGAGAAGGAGGGGAGATGTTTTGGGTTTTGTTAGGACTTGAAGTATTGTTTAGCTTCAATTTGTTTAAGTTAATTGTAAAGCTGTGTTATTTATTTATTTATTGTTTTTCCTCTAGAGGTTTAATTTAGTTCACTTCTTCCCAAAAAGAAAATGTAAATGTTAAATTGTTTAAATGTGGGTGTGTTTTCTTCTCTGTTTTCCTTTGAATAATTAACTTCAACTTTCCCATATCTAAATTGTAAAGTGCTGAAAACCAGGCATGTTTGTTATTTTATATCATTCAGCCTTTACTGTCAGTGTTTATACCGGTACTCAAACTTCCCTGATTTAATGTTAAGTACTGATAAGATAACTGTCCTGGGGACTTTAATTCATAATAACATGGAAAGTAACAGCTTAAATGTAGCATTTAATGCTATTTAATGCTATTAAGCTCAAAATATCTGTACAGCTATCCATCTTTATGATCATACTTTGAACCTTGTGTTGTTGTATGGCATTCATTTTTAAGAAATAATAGCATCTCTTAATAACTACGTCTAGCCTCACTATCTATTGATAACCTGTATATTAGCTTAACCAAACTCCTCATCACGGAAAAAAAAATTCTATTACAGAGGATCATTTTCAGACATGGGATCTAACAACTTCTAAAGAATCTGCTTTATTCATCTTTATTTTCTCAGTATTGTGGGAAAAACACTGCAGAGGGGCTTATGTCTGTACAGATCTCAGTGTTGCATTAAATACAGTCGAGCAGAATATTCTTTTAGAAAGGTGTGAGTGTGCTGAGGGGATCCAGGTAACAGCATTAGGCTTGTTCAAATAGGATTCTCCAGCAAATTTCAGTGTCTCAATGTTACTGATAAATCTTCAACTCCAGCGATACCTGTGGAATACCACAAGTGCTTGTGATAAATATTTTCACTCTGCATATGTGCTTCCAGTGGGTAAAATTATCACACAGCAACTACTATGCTGATAAAACTTTGCTATGTTTGTCCATAAATTCTGTTGGATCCAATCGGTACCAGCTTGTCTTGAAGACATAAAAACCTGGATGACTTTAGATTTTCTGCTTAAAATAAGACAAGACAGCAATAGTCAGTTTTGACAAGGACAGAAGCATCAATGCTGCCCACCCAGCATTAACCCCACCCAACTTTATCAGCAGATGGGGTGGGACTTGTGGATATGTATATAACTAGCTGAGATCTTGCATCTGCAGATGTACTAGCATTGCTGTGGGTGAACTGCTGGGGAAAATGACGGAACGTGTGTTTGCCTAGCTCAGGGGTCGGAAACCCAAACTGCTCAAAGAGCCATATTGGACCAAAACAAAAAATCTTTCTGGAGCCACAAAAATGTAAAAGCCTTATATAAGCCTTGTATAGCACCACAGGCTCTAAGTGTTTTATCCCACTATAGAAAAGGACAATATGGGCTTAAATATATAATAAGCATTCATGATTAAATGTTTATCCTGAAGCAAATGTCACATAGTAGCCTGAGGTCACAGAGGAACAGTGAACGCTCCCATCGCGCACCGCTTCACCACCTTCACCGCGCGGTTTAAGTTTTCTTGCAGTGATGAAATTATAGAAACACAATAAAGAAATCTTTCTATGGTGGACGTGTTTCTGCTGGGAGGAGTTTATTGAGTCATGAGGAACCAAGCAGGAAGTGACATCAGAGCTGTGCTCTCTAACCCCGAAATCCCACATCCTCCGTCACCATCGTTCCTTTGTCTGATTAATATTTTTAGGATTTGGGGAAAAAATGGAAGAAAGTTCAGATACCTGCATCAAAGCGCTACCTGTTTGATCTGTGGATGGTTTTCCATCCTTGCAACAAAACCAGCAGCAGTAGTGGAGTTGGAAATGCAATCCACTTCTTAAATCTATCTTTGCGCTCCTCTAATTTATACTGCAATTGCACTTTTTATTTTTATTTTTTGACACCCTCTCATTACAAAGCAAAAACGCAGGCAATCCTTCTGCATTGATAATGAAAGAAAATGATTTGGTCTATTTGAATCCTCATTTCTTATCAACTATTTTACTTTTTTCCCTTTGGGATTCATATTCCGAGACACACCCACCACTTTGTTTGCCTGGCACCTTTCTACGGTGGTTCCAAGTTATGACCACTGATCTCTATGGCTATGACACCAATTATTATTTAAATTTATTTATAATACAAATTTTTACAGCATTGGAAAACATTAATTAATTTTTGTTTGACCTCCTGCACACCATATTAAAACAAACACAAAAAAAATAATCGATTTTCATAACACTTTTGAAAAAGCTCCAGGGAGCCACAAGGGGGAGGCTAAAGAGCCGCATGCGGCCTAGCTATATATTTTTATTTCAGGTTAAAACAATTTTTTTAGCAAACTTTATAATCCCAATTTTTCCCTGTAAACCATCTCCATCTATGCTTCTATACTAGAGTGTTTCTCATTTTTACCTAAATATGCTTGTTTTTAAATAATAACTTTTCTGTATTATTATTCCGCTGCACTACTGACTTCTGATGTTTTTTTATTTAATTTGATCTTGCGTGTAACAATGTTTTCTTCTATGTATTTCCTTTTTGCTACCCAGATTTCCTGTTGGATCATTAACAGAAAATTTGACCTGCAGAGGATTCCATTATGGAGATATTTAACCAATGACAATTATCTAGATCTTCCCAGCATGATGCTCCAAATTTAGTTAAAGCTTCGTCCAAAAAGTCCTCCCTCTCTGCCATTTTTACCTCTTTCAGTCTGATTCGATCCTCGTGCCAGACATGGGACAGTGGAAAAGAAAAATACCTGAAAGGCCCCCTGTAGTGTTCCTAAAATTACCAAGGAAAACAGACAATATAGCGGCCAGACTTCACCTCGGCGGATTGCAGCCAGCAGGTCACTCCGGGCGTCGTTCATTGGGATGTTCAGGATGCTCGACGGCTTCCTGTTTTCAGTGGCTTGAGGCAGTGGGGGCGCAGCAGCTGAGGCTGTTGCTTGGCCCCCAGGGTGGGCTGGGGAGGGGACATAGTTGGCAGGAGGAGGAGGGGGAGGAGAGGGGCTGTAAGGGCGGGAACTTGAACCAGTGCCACCTGCAGGTAAATGAAATATGGAAACGTTTCATTGGTTGATTTCTGCCAAGTAGGAGGTTTCGGCTGTTGCTGCCTTTTTGTTTTTGTTAAGCAAAGATATTTTTTATAGAAGCGATGAAGAAAACGTGTTTTGGAAGTGAAACTTTAAAATATCTATGGAAAAAATGTAAACCATATTTTCAGATTACAATTTTTTTCAGATTTTAAATTTTTAGACCTATTTAGACCTTTTTTTTCTCAAAGTATTTCAGATGTTATCTTTCCAATTTTTTTGTAGAATGCTTTTTGATAATTGCCCTCTTTCCAAATCCTGTGTTACAGGTTTCAGCCTCTACACTTCCTAGTGGTCTGTGTGTGGACCAATAAAAAATGCTGTTGCTGTTCACGCAGAGAAGGCCACTTTCTATTGGTCCACGCACAGACCACCTAGAAGTGTGGAGGGGGGAGTGTGTAAAAGCAGATTTAAAAATAATACAATTCATATAAATCCGTCTCTGGAAACATATAAGCAAAATTAAATTTGAAAAAAAAACTGAAAATAAGAATGTTTTTTTGAAAAAATAAAATGTGAAAATAAAAAAAAATAAAAAATCTCGTTTAAAACACTTCAAAAGTAAAATATGCAAAAAATCAAACTAAGTCTGAAAAGATAAAATCTGAAAAAAAATCTAATTTGAAACGAAAAATCTGAACTTTTGCAATACACTTCATAAATTATTCTCACAACCTTTCTTTATTTAGATTTTTTTAATTTCCTTTTTTAAAACATGTTTTCTGCTTTCAGTAACAATGGAACAAAACATCTCTCCATAGATGACTGTTACCTTGATTACCAGCAGCCACTGCAGGATGCTTTTGGGTTGCCACGGCAGCGCTGTGGGTGGAGATGCTGGAAAACACTTTTTGTCCCGCTGATGGCATTGGAGGAGGGGGAGGCGGTGGTGCTGGTGGGATCTGATGGTCACTATAGAGAAAAAAGTCAGCTTACTAGGTGATCCGGTCAAATTCATGTTGATGTTCTGCCTGTGTGCCTTTCTGTACCTGGAATCCCTTGCCATGTTGACCCATGCTCCTTTCTGAGTGGCTGAGCTAGCAGGCGGCACCTGGTGGTGATGATGTGGCTGGTTGCGTCCCAGGGAGTGCTGCCGGACGGAGGTGGCAGCAGCTGCCGAGGATGCTGCTGTGGGCCGCAGGGCACGATCAAGCGACTGAGTTTGGCCGCTGCTGTTTGTCACCATGGAAACAGGGTCCTTCCCCTCATGACAAGGGCTGGAGGGGTCATCGGACATTCTCGACCTGCGTGTATGAAGTCTACCTGTGAGATACGTGTAGATAGTGGGCATTTCGCTCCATTGTGGGCCGTGGTTACCTGTCAGGTGACACTGAGCCATCGGAGGTGTGGTAAGGTGATGGTGTCAGTCGAGCATCTGGACGGAGCTCCTTATCGTACGCCATCAGGTTCCACTCCTGCCGTCGGTTCCGAGCTTTGCGGACCTTCGTGGAAAGAAAGCAGAAAATTACGCCGATAGAGTTCTTAAATGGGCCGGCAGATGGATTCCAGCCAGACAATTACCTTCTTCACTTCCCGTCCTGAAGACTCCTCCACCTGCTTCTGCTCCTAAAAGGAGAAACCAGATGTGAAAAAAAAGGTTTTGGCATGGATGGATGGATGGATGGATGGATGGATGGATGGATGGATGGATGGATGGATGGATGGATGGATGGATGGATGGATGGACGGACGGACGAATGGATGGACGAATGGATGGATGCACAGACAGACAGACGGACGGACGGACGGATGGATGAGTGGATTGGATGGATGGATGGATGGATGGATGGATGGATGGATGGATGGATGGATGGATGGATGGACGGACGGATGGAATGATGCACGGACGGACAGACAGACAGATGTACGGATGGATGGATGGACGGACAAAGGGTAGATGGACGGACGGATGGATTGGTAGATTAATGGATGGACGGACGGTTGGATGGATGGACGGACAGATGGGTGGATGGATGGACAGATGAATGGACGGAAGGATCGATGGATGGACGGATGGATGGATGAAAGGACAAATGGATGGATAGATGGATGGATGGACGAATGGGTGGATTGATGGATGGACGGACGGTTGGATGGATGGACGGACAGATGGGTGGATGGATGGACAGACGAATGAACGGAAGGACAGATGGATGGACAGGTGGACGGATGGATGGATGAAAGGACAAATGGATGGATAGATGGATGGACGGACGAATGGGTAGATGGATGGACAGACGAATGGACGGAAGGATGGATGAAAGGACAAATGGATGGATAAATGGATGGACTAATGGACGGACTGACGGATGGACGGCCGGCCGGATGGATGGGCGGACAGATGGATGGATGGACGGGTGGATGGATGAATGGATGGACGGATGGATGAACCTTGTGTCTTCTCTTCTCCTTGCGTTTGTTCTCTGTTGCCTGCAGCATCTTCTCCTTCCACAGGCTGAAGAAGTAAGACGAGTCGGTGTAGAATTTCAGAGCATCCTTTTTATCATCCCTGAAAAAAAAACAGACCATAAACCCCTTGTTGGCATGGCGATGGTGCAACTTGAAACTGACCAGCAAGGTGTTGAGGGGTGGGGCTAAAACTAACCTGTAAGGTGTGAGGATGTTGAGGGGGGGTGGTTTATCACACCGGTGGTACATCTCCAACACCGGGTTGAGGATAGAGCTCCGGGACACCACCTGCTGGTCCTGGATGGTACTGCTTCTGAAAGCTTTCCGCATGTTGATGTCCTGCAGGGATACTGCGCCGCAAACATCACAAAGATGTTTGAGATGATGTACAAACAGCCAGTAGATGTTGAGATGAAACAGCAGGAGGAGTCTGGGTGACTGGGTGGAGGTTGACTCACCTTCCTCCACGGTGGAGTCCAGCTGAGTCACCTTCATGGCCAGCTGGTCCACTCTCTCCTGCAGGCTGTTCATCCTCAGGCAGAAGCTGTTGGCCTCCATGAAGAGCTCACCAAAGATATCCTCTGCATGACGACCTGGAAATCAGTAGGAGGAGAAACCTTCGCAACAGAACTCACTGATTTATTAGAACCACATCAAGGGTCTGATCAGTGGGGTCTGGTTTAGAGTCATAAGATCTCTTTGCCTGGTCAAAAATAACGGGTTTCTATCTGCAGCAGCTCCATGGACCAATCAGATCTTCTGTCAGGCCTCGTCTCTAATCGTGCATTTGAATCCTTTCAAAAAAAAAAATCTCAGAGGTCTTCCTTCAGTGATTCTCTAACATTTCAGCCTCTGACCCCAAAAATAACAATGCAACAGACTGGAGAGTCCCTAAAAATACTAATAACTACTGTTCATTTATGCCTATACAGTGTAGTAATTATATTTCCTTTTTATCTATGTTTTAATGGCATTTAGTTACTGAATATTATCTAAAATATTAAATGTACAATTAAATCCCTAAAATGCATTAATTAAATTTTTTTTAAAATAATTCATTAAATGTAATTTAAGGAGTATATTTCAACATTAAGTGGAAATTAAAAAGTTAACCAAGCTAAATTATTTAATGAGAGTGTGTCTTACTATTATCAATAATTATATTACAAATGTTAAAAACATAAAGTTAAGTACATGGAGTAAAGGTTCCGCCATGTACTCCATGTACTCCAAACGGTGATGTCACGGGGTTTGTTGATGCTTCAGTTGGGGTTTAAATACATTGGATATACCAGCGATAGATCACAAACATAAAATATTTAAAACATTTGGTATGATGGAAGATGAAGCTGAAAGGACACTCAAGCGATTTTAAATTTTAAATAGAGTTACCTGGTTTTATATGTATAAATTAAGTATAAAGTGAAGTGATTCATTGATTGTATAGCTTATAGATTATATAAGGGGATATATATAGGGGGTCATCAGTCTGCTGCATTGTTTTTGTTTGTTTTTTTGGAGCGATAGTCTGGAATATTTGAATTTATTGTGTATTTTATGATTTATTATTATATATATTGTTTTTATACATAAATACTACATCTACTTATGTCATGGGACACTTACTCCGCAGCCAAAGCACCTACCTGTAAAATCCTTGCAACAAACTAAATTATAATCAAACTAAATGCTTTCTTTAAACCAAACTACGATGGTCCTCTTATAATTGGCGAATTTATGTTCGAATATTTTGCAAAAATATGTTGCGGTGCATGATGGGGTTTTGCATCCAAAGAAGTTTCCCGTCTTACGTGCATTGTTGCCAGGTTGGGATGTTTCCCAATCTGGCAGTTTAGAATGGCCCTTTATGGGTAAAAAATGTTTTTCTTTAGATTTATAGCCTAAGAGATCAATAGACTTTGGTTCAAATTGGGTGAGATTTCATATATCCGGGCGGTTTATGAAAATCTTTTGGGCTGGAAAACGTGAGTCAGTGACATCTGACAACCCTGCTGATGTGGTGAGTGGCGTTAACGTAACCAAAGCCAGTAAAACCGCATTATAGAAGTCTTGGTGATATTTGTCGTGTGATACATGAAGATAGATCGCTTAATCCACAATGTGTATTCGTATTGTGTTTCACATTTGAGACGCACACGTTTGAATGTGCTTCTACTTTTTTTCTTCGGGGGCGGGGGGTCCAGGACCGAAAATCGTTCCCAGTCTGAGCCTTCCCATCGGTTCCCAACCCCCACTATGAGAACCCCTGTCTTACACAGAGAGAAACCAGAAGACATCTGGGTTCTGCCTGTCCTCTCTGTCCTGCTTTCTATTTAACCATGCAGAACCTCTGAGTGTAAGGAACTAGAACAGAACCAAGTCAGGATCACTCACTAAGTCCTCCCAGCTGCTTGATGACAGCAGCCAGTGTGCTGTTGGTGACGCACTCCAGTTCGCTGGCGACCCCATCAGGCAGAGCTCCGCGGCACAGGTACCTGGGCTCGATGATCCTCTTCACCAGCGGCATCCCTCAGCTGCAAAACCAATCAGAACAACAATCAGCCTGCTATTGGACCGGCTATCTACTCTTACTCCTTACGCACCCTAATTACTGCAGTATCAGGAATGTGCCTCTTGGTTGCCCAGGCGATGCCATCATCACCATGGCAACACAGAGCCAGCTTCACACCTTGGGCTGCTCCCCACACACTGAGCTTACTGTTGCTAGGAGACGTTTGGGGGGGGGGGGGGGGATGATGATGCAGCTGTGGAACCTGGAGTAATCAGATTACTTACCAAGTTCTGCTGCTAGGTGGTGCAAGGCCTTGGTCAGAACTCCTTCATGCCAACCAAAGGTCCAGAACCAGGAGTGTCACACCCACCATCAGGACCCCATCCTGCTGACATCCTCCATCATCCCAGTGGGGGTGTCACTCAGTATGGAAGACGTCCGCTGGTTCTCTCTTCTGAGATGTTCTGCTGAGCTGAGATTGTGATTCTGGAAGATCTGATGGATCACAGGCTAATGCAGAGCCTAACCCTCCAGATCGGCTGACTGGGAACCATGAGGGATGATCATCTGCTCCCATCCATGATGTTCCAGTCTGATACTGTTTCTCTAGATGGTTCTGGTCTGATGTATTTCAGATGGTTCTGGTCCTTGGGGTTCCACCGGTCTGACCCCCGCTCCCCTCTAGCTGCAGCCTAAAACATGTGACCTGTTCTGCCCCCACCCCATGATATTCAGAAAGCTGATATTAATGACGCCATAGCTTTTAAAGGTGATGCTTTAAAAATCCCCTCGCGCTCACTCACGCGCAGGATCAGCCATCGTCTTTCAGCTGATGGTTCTGCGGCCCATAAACCGGCGGTGCTGCCGTGGTTCTGATTATACTCTAAGCTGCAAACGGAGTCACGGCCCTAAAATCCACCTCTGCTCATTAGCTGAGCTAATTAGGGGTTACATCCATCTTACCTTGCTCTGAGACCGGCTCGGTTCTGGTTAGTTCTGTTGGATCCTCCAGCGGCAGCAGACTCTCCTCCTCCTCCGACCGGGAGGTGTTTTCCACTCGGTTCCTTTCGGCACCTTTCGTTTTCGGATGTTTCCGGCTCCTGTCGGCAAACCTCGGCAGCTCGAGCCGCTCAGCGATTTAATTCGTTTTTCTTCGTGATTGGATGAACTCTTTAAGCTGAGCTTCAGTTTTCCAGTGTCTCAACTGTGATCTTCTCAGAGGTCCACTTCTCCACCGAACTGTTTTTATTTATTTTTTATTTCAGTTTCCGATCATGTTCTTATCTGCATGATCTGTTTTCAATGCAGACGTTTGTGCTGTTAAACTGACTGTGATGCAGGTATCAGTCAACAGCACCAAAGAAGATGAAGGTTTTAAACTAGGAAACAGTGTTTTTATTTATTTATTCATATATTTATTTATTCATTTTCGAGAATAAAGTCGTTATATTATGAGAATAAAGGCGTAAAATAAAATAAAGTTGTAATAATACCAGCAGTGGCGGATCTAGCGGGTGGCTACTTGGGCTTCAGCCCCGGATGTTTCCCCAAGAGCCCCGGATCTAAGCTTCTAAGCCAGGGGTGCCCAACCTTTTTTAAAGCAAGATCTACTTTTGAAGTTGATGGCATGCCCATATTTACCAAGCCAAACACAAGAGATGGGCAGTATTTGTTTTTTTATTTGCACAGGTGGATAATAAACAGTAAGTCCAACAAACGGGGAAATGATCAATTCAGTCAAAAAATAGGTTGCAAAAACAGAATTTAACAATCTCATAAGAACTTCACACCATATCACTCACTCACTCACTCACTCACTCACTCACTCACTCACTCACTCACTCACTCACTCACTCACTCACTCACTCACTCACTCACTCACCAAAACTACAGAAAAGAGCAGTCAAGATCTCCAGACAACGGCTGTGCTGCAAAAAAATCTAAATACACCAATTGATACACACACAGTCCAGTAGAGAGGAAACAAAAAAACGTCAGAACTGTAAATTTACAGTCATATGTTTATATCACTGATTATGTATATATATATATATATATATATATATATATATATATATATATATATATATATATATATATATATATATATATATATATATATATGCTTATAACAACATATATATATATATATATATATATATATATATATATATATATATATATATATATATATATATATATATATATATATATATATATGATACTGGGATTTATAAGACTGTTGATATAAGCATCCTGCACCTTGTTAGCTTGTTCCCCACTAACATGTGCTGTGTACTTAGCGAGGCGTTCCCGTTATTTTAATGCTGTTTTGTGTTTTCTTAGTATTATAGTTCTATGTTCTGTTAGAAGAAGCACTTGGCAACGACACTGTCAAGGAACTCTATGGACAGCGGAAACATGCAAGAGGAGGAGAGTTTAGTGTCGGAGGTCGTAGATGAGTCTCCTTCATCATGTATTTTTTACTGAGAGGAGGAAAGCGGGGACGAAGATGTTGTGGAAGAGGACGCCAGGGCGGCAGAAGCTTGGTTTGGTGTAGAAGGCTTCCAGCCGTACATGTTTGATCCCTTGCCTCGCAACGCTGCCAGTTCTGTTAGCTCTACGCCTGCCGAAGACACAGACGTCCATCCCCGTGAACACTGGGACGGAACTCAATGGTAAATTAAATGATTCTTAGTTCTTATTTCAACCGTTGCGTATATTAGCTGCGACATATGAATCAAGATGCTATGACCGAAAAAATTTGATTGACAGATGACCGTTAATATATGATTGGCCGAATTTAGGTGTTCAGGGTGGCGTATAACTAACTGGCTTGCATAAGATTTTTTTTAATAGAAATTTTCTAAATTTTGGGACAATATAGTCTGATAAAGAGTACATTTATATGCATGTTTAAAGGAATAGTACACCCAAAACATGATTAGCCTTCATTTTCTACTCACCCCCATGCTGAACAACACCCTGGAGTACTTTTTTGATATCTCAAATTCATCTGGAGATCTGGGAGGCTTCTTGCTGTCTGCTGACATTCAAATAATGGAGGTGCCCGGCGCCCGAGGCAGAAAGGTCCATAAAAGTCCACAAAAAACGTTTCATTATTCCTCCATACTGCTCGTCCAATGTATTCCAAGTGTCCTGAGTGGGTAGCATCCAGAATTTACTCGAAACGAAGTCATTTAGAATGTTTTTAGAGCATAAACAGTAGTGTATAGGATTTACTGAAAGCGCGCACATGCGCGATCACGAGCCTACGGAAGCCGGCAGACCAAACCAGCGCATTCAGCTCGGCAAAGAACTCATGCTCTTCCTCAACACTGAAGTCCTCAGACATTTTTCTTTCGTTGTTTCTTTCTTTGCACAGGTAAACAGCACATTTCTTCTTCTACGCTTGCATTATTGGCAGAGCAGACGCTGAATGCGCACTTTCATCTGGTTTGGTCTGCCGGCTTCCGTAGCCTCGTGATCGCGCAGGTGCGCGCTTTCAGGAAATCCTATACACTACTGTTTATGCTCTAAAAACATTCTAAATGACTTCGTTTCGAGTAAATTCTGGATGCTACCCACTCAGGACACTTGGAATACATTGGACGAGCAGTATGGAGGAATATTGACACGTTTTTTGTGGACTTTTATGGACCTTTCTGCCTCGGGCACTATAGACCTCCATTATTTGAATGTCAGCAGACAGCAAGAAGCCTCCCAGATCTCCAGATACATTTGAGATATCAAAAAAGTACTCCAGGGTGTTGTTCAGCATGGGGGTGAGTAGAAAATGAAGGCTAATCATGTTTTGGGTGTACTATTCCTTTAAGCCAGAAAGATTTTACATTTAAATGTGAATTCCCGAAGACTTTAAGCTAGTTTAGCTCTTTTAACTTAGTAAGATGAGCATAGACACACTGTGAACCTATTTTGAATTTTCAGCTTTGATGTGTTTTTTATCTGTCTGATAATTTCCCAGTTATATTTGAGTTTATTGTTTTCCTTCTGGTTCCTGGCCCACAGGCTGCTGTTCGCTCTCCTCCTCTGATCAATACTAAGCTGTATTGCAATTTTAATTTACAGACCCTATTCTTCCCTTTCAGGGGATTCTGTACTACGGAGGCCACTCCTGAATGATTTCAGCAATACTTGTGAGGATATTTTGTGAAGTGACTGCTCCTTTGAAACCTACACTCTAAAAGACTTTAAAGAATACAACAGCTCTCCTAGAAAAGACAGCAGCACAAACAGAAAATGGAAGTCTCTTTAGAGATTTTGAGAAGTTGTTGAACTGTCTGCCTAGCCATTTTTTGGATATCTAAGTTTTAATTTTATTCTGATTTCTGTTTACAGTGAACTAAAAGACCCAAAATCAACTGCTATGACATATAAAGTTTAATGGGATTACTGAGGAACTTCAGTTTGATTTCACGTTGTGTCACAAGACAGAAAGTATCTTTTTAGAGTTTATAATAATCTGCTTTTAGCAGCAGAGTCTGTGACTTTGCTGTTAGAGTCTGACACATTCAAACTCGGAGCTGGCCTCAGATGGAAGGGGCATGTTGATGAAGTACACCTCCTCTGGGCTGGGTTTTATTGTCCCAGGTAATGGACAAGGCAGTGTGGTTTCCCTTGCAGGGTCTGGGGTAGTAGCCTGAGGGGTCTCCTTCATCGGCGAGTACTTTTTCACTGAGAGATTCAGAGGACCTTTGAGTCTGGCTCTTCCTTCTCCTCCACCACGGTGTCCATGAGCATCGGGCTTTGGCTTGAAGCGCTTGAGCCTAACAGCATCTTTGCCGTTTTGAGTGCAGGGAAGCAGGATGGCTACATCTTTGCGGAATTTGGAACTGAGACCAAAGTAGATCAGAGGGTTGTAGAAGCTGGCAGACTTGGCGAAGAGCCGGGTGAAGATACTGGTCAGGTTAGGCACATGAAAACCACAGGCAGACCACATGGAGACCACTGCATATGGGGACCAGGCCAAGATGAAGGCTGTGCAAATCACAATGGAAACCTGAAGAAGGAACAAGAAAAAGTTCTACCAATCTTTGAAGACTCTGGGCCTGATGAGACAGATAAAAACTCACAATTGTTACGTCTCTCTCAATCTTCCTCTGACGGTCTGTCAGGTCTCCGTCAGCAGAGAGGGCATTGCCTCTCTTCACCGTGTTAATGATAGACACATAGCAAAAGAGCATGATGAGCACAGGCGTGAAGAAGCAGAAAATGAAGATGGAGATGATGTAGGACCTGTAGATGCTTGAATAGCTGGCTTTGGACCAGTCAATCTCACAGGTACCGTACCCCCGATCTGCAGAGCAGCAACCGCAAAGGTAAAAGGCAGGATCAGAGCTCACTGAGTTGTACTGTATTGGAACCAGGTTTCCTACCTGTGTAGCTACCCCAGCCAAGCACTGGAGCTCCAGACCAGAACCCAGCGGCGACCCAGAGGAGGAGCAGACAGATCGATACACTGGTCCGGGTAATATGATGTGCTGAAAAAAACAGATGAAGCTGTAGATTCAGGACTGATATTACCTGCAAGGCGTTGCTTCTAAATGAATGGAGATAAGTTTAGTGTCAATCATACCTCTGTGTGGGTGGCATCCTTTGATGTAGCGGGTGATGCTAATCACTGTCAGTGTAAAGATGCTGCTCAGACCAAACACTAATGTGAAGAAACCATCCACCTGAAGAGACAAACAGTACAGTACAGATTAGTCCCACTGATCTCATTTATTTAATGGATTTCTAATAGGCCGGTGGTAGTACACAGTGCTGTGATGTCACCAGCCGCCATACTGGTACTCTCTAGTTAGACCAATGGGAAGGTAAACAATACGTGGCTACAGCATCAGAAAAAGATAATTTTCTCATTTTTAGGGGGGTTTAAGACTTTTAAAATAAAGTCACACATTTACTGTTTCATAGAATCAGTAGATAACTGTAGTTTATGGTAAAAAAATAGGCACATCACATTTCATATTCAGCATGAAGTCTATAAATCATGTAATATAACATATTATATAAATCCATAACAACAAAATTCATGTTTTAATGGAGCATAATAAGACTGTATCAGATATTAAGAATAGTACACAGACACACTATCTGATGATGTGCCAAAAGTGCTAAATTGAGGATGTATATGTAATATGTTTTGATTACATTGTTATGGTAATTACATTACAGGCATTTTTGTGGCACGAATCTGTGAAAGTGGGGAGTACCAAGATGGCGGCAGGTGACTTCAGTTTTTTCGGCCTATCAGCAATTCAGTAAATAAATAGAGATCAGTGGTGAGTCCCTCTTACTGAGTCTTTTTTTTTTTTAACCAATATATTTTTATTGAGATTTTTCATTTTGAAAATACAAACATGTCATTATCTCAACAAGTTCTCTTTGTAGTTATGACATGGCAGCAATTATTTTACTCAACTCAAAAAAAAACACACACACACACAGCTTCTCAAAAAACGTGGGTAAGTAAGAAAGTACTAATTGGTCAGATATGGATATACATATCTATACAACATCGCACACCACAGGTTCCAGTCAATTATAATTCAAACACACCTACAGTCAAGTTTAAGTCCTTAATAAAATTAATGAAAGGCCCCCATATCCTCTCGAAAAAATACCGTTTGGATTTCCTAATATATGTTATTCTTTCTAGCGGCAAATTAGACGACATCTGTTTTAACCACTGAGTGGCTTAGGTCTACTGATATTCTTACAAGCAAAGCAATGCCTTTTTTTGCAACTAACGAGCTTATATCTATAAAAGCACATTCTGATTTACTAAAGTTATGTTCCCTAGAGTATAAAGCTAACAGGAACAATTTAGGATCCAGTGAGACTTGTTTTAAAATAATTTTTTTTAATTATATCTTTCACCTCTGTCCAAAATGCTTTAAGTTGTTTGCATTCCCACATGCAGTGTATTAGAGTCCCTTTAGAATTAGATTTTACACAAATATCTGGGATGTTATTGTTGTATTTATTTCAATGCACAGGTGTAACATAGACACGCATTAGCCATTTAAATTGTAGAATTCTAAGACGGCTGTTTATGGACATTGTGTGAGTTTTAATGCAAACTTTTTCTCAATCCTGTTCACTAATGTTTGCTGATAGGTCCAATTCCAGTTCAGAAGCTTATTATTTGAGTTCTCTAGTGAGTTAGAGATCAGCACATTGTAAAAGTCTGAGATGATGCCCTTCCTTGATTTATTCTGAGTCATTAACTTTTCAAGTAAGGTAAGAAGGGTCTTTTTTACTCCAGGACAGCGCATGTGAGAACTTTATATTTCAGCATAGTACAGGTGAATTCTTTCTTTGTCAACCCAATACAGACATGTTCTTTCTACTTCAGAGCAGTATAGGCGAATTCCTACTATGGCAGCCCAGTACCGATGAGTTATCTTTACTTTTGCCCACTACAGGCGAGTCCTTTCTACTTCATCAAAAGCACAGATGAATCATTTCAATGTCAGCCCCTTAAAGGTGAGTCTTTTCTAGCTCAGCACAGGTGAATGCTTTTCCACGTCATCCCAGTAGAAGGGAATCTTAGCATGCAGAGATCCAGGTAACTATGTTCTAATTACTTACTTACTGAGGTTTTAGGTCCATAAATACTTGTTCTGTTTATGTATGATAGAACAACAAACCATCAGTTATCATCAAAGTGACTAATGTTTAGTATTATTTGGCGGAACACCAGTGACCTACTTAACAGCACAGAAACAGATGAGCCGTCCTCACCACTGCATTGTACGGATAAGAACCTTTTTCTTTACCATGGTACAGGTAAGTCCTTTCAATTTAAGCCCAGCAAAAACTACCTGTGAGTACCTGGCAGGTCCAAATGGAGGATATGAAGTAGCTGCTGTCCTGGAAAACATTGAAGATCTCTATGATGCCTCTAGAGTAGCCAAAAACAGAAATACTGGCATCAGAAATGGCCAGGTTGAAGGTCAGGTAGTCAGTGGGCTGAAGCGAAGCTCGCTGTCTGTAGAGAACGAAGAGGACGATGCTGTTTCCAAACCAGGAAGTCCATCCTGCAGAGAGAGGACAGTGATGGCTCACTTTTTGATATTCATAGCTCTGCTTCTGAATATGAAGCCGAGCTTACACACAGGGTCATCTGAGGAGGTCTAGAGGAAAAACATAAAGTTTGACAGATGCTGCAGATTTCTCTTCACACTTGAAGGTTATCTTGTAATGAAAGGTTTGGCTTAATCTGTCCCAGAACAAAACAGACAAACTCACAGAGCAGTTTGAGACTACCACCCTGTCCTAATCTATCCCCTACCGTCCTTTACCCACCAAGCAGCAGGAGATAGATTCCAATGATAGTCTCTCCCTGGTCGGAGAGGGGGGGGTCTCTTCCCCCCTCCATGCCGAAGCTTGGATTCTTCCAGGAGGGTCCATGTACCGCGGCGCTAGTCAGAGACATGCTGTTAGTCATGTGGAGTCTGGAGGTTCACTGAGGAACGTTTGACGTCTCCACTGATAATCAGAGGTAAATATAGAGTCTGATCCTGGTTCACAGTCAGATCAGCAGCAGGAGAGCTGGCATGGAACCATCAACCAGCAGGGGCCGGTTATAGGTCAGGTTGCCGTGGAAACTGATCTCTGAGCGACTAAATACTGGTTGTCTTGTTTACTTATTGACCATTGGTGGCTTGGGAGTCTTTGTCCAACAGTGCTTCCTGCACTGTGTCCAGAGGACACACTGTGGCAGATCTGTCCCTCCTGCTGAGCTTGCCTAACTGTGTCCTCTCAGCTGCAGATAAGCTGCTTCTGGCCTCATGCGACTCAATTTGATGGTTTCCACAACAGTTGCTCCACTGATGGCCTTCATATGCATAGAGCTTGCTTGTTAAATCATAATCAGATTTTGGATTTCCTCAGAATGGATTTGATCACAAATAAATAATTTCACTGTCCAGTCCAGCCGGACATCACACTGATGCTGTTTTTATCAGATGATTGGCTCTTTAGTCAACAAATAAAAACTCAACAAAGACGTTTGATTCTGCAGCTGATCTGAAATCAGCTCACTTTCTAAATCCTAAGAACTGGATTCTAATCCAGCTTCCAACTGATGATCTTCAGCTGTCTGACCTCTGACCTCTAAGATTACTGAGCTGGAGTATGGTCAGGTAGAGCTGCTGCTCCTCTGTCAGTAGCTGAGTGGGGGCGCTCTCTGAGGGGGGCTCCAGACCCTTTAAAAGCAGGCAGTGGTCTTATTTAACCTGTACCGAGTCATTGGGTAGAGGTTTGAAGAGGACCCAAACGCAGAGACTGAACCTGAAGTGGTTTCTTAGGGATTTAATAACAAAAAGGGTAATGGGAGCAAAAATCCACAAACATAAATACACAAAATCCCCCCAAAAAATAACTGAGAACCAGGAATATTCACAACAAGGGGGCAAAGAAATGACGACACACCAGCCACAGTGATTGAGCAGGAGGTGCATATATGGGGGAGAGAAACAAAGATCAGGCTGATGATCAGCAGATTGGGAGCAGAGGAGTCTAGAAAGGAGCTAGGGAAAAGGAGAATTACACAGGAGGGCAACAGATATCTAAGAACTCACATACAATCAAAAATAACTAGAATAACACAAAACGGAAATGAAACCAATAAAAACTCAAAGATAAATCTTAAACAAAACCAAAAACACGACAAATATGATACATATTTAAAATTCTTTAGATTGTATTTTCATAATAGTATTTTATTTTCATGTTTTATAAGTTCAGTTTATATTTTTACAAAGAAACTGGAAGTTGACTGAGTTTTTATCTTTAAATGCTTTTAAGTTGAAAGTGAAAGAATTTGAAGCAGCTGTAATGATCTGTAATTGTTTTACTTGATATGTTTTTTATGCACTTGTCTTTTATTTTTATGTATCTCTGTTTATTATGTAACCTTGCTGCCTCCTGGCCAGGACTCCCTTGAAAAAGAGGTTTTTAATTTCAAAGGGGTTTTTCCCCCCTGATTAAATAAAGGTTAAATAAAAATAAAATAAAAAATCTTAAAAGTAGGCCTAGGAAATAAGGGTAATGTATTTTTTTCAAGTAATTTATTATAATAAAAGAATTGTTGGAATCTAATATAAAATACAAGGAATAATTTCACCAAAGATCTTAAAAATTCTGGGTAATTTAACCATAATTTAATTTCCTTGATTTCGAATGACGTGCATACTCCGGTCCGGTAGATGGCGATAAGTGCAGTTTAAGTTGTTTTGCTAACTGGCTGTCAAATTCCAAAAGAAGAGGATAGAGGAGACGAGAAGAAGAAGAAGAGTCGGGGCTTCTGATCGTTGATTGATGCGGCCTCTCTATCGCACTTCTAGCGGCGTTATGTGCGACGTGTGTCCAGTCTGGAAGCCCTGACCGCCGGGAAGCTAACCTCTCTCAGTCCGCTCTCGGTACTCTGACCCCAGGGAAGCTAACCCATCTCTGTCCGGTCTGAGAGCTTCGAGCCCCGGTGAAGCTAGCCCAACCTGTCCGGAATGTGAGTTTTAAAGCCCAGTAGGTCTCCTGACGTCTTTCCGTTCGGAATGCTCTGTAATCCGGGGGAAATCTACTGATATCTGTCCGACCTTGGAGCTCCGGAGGCTACCTGGTCCGTACGCTGCTCCAGGGGTGTTGTGTCTCGGGGAGGAGGGCGGTCGATCGCCGTGATGGCGACCAGAACTGGGTCTGGGAGCGCAGGCAACGGGTTAGGCAGCCTTCCGATCAGCACCGCGGGACCCAAACCGGGCGCTGGGCACGGGACGGAGGCAGACCAGGAGTACAGCACCGAGGTGGTTTACAGCGGCTCGGATCAGGACTCTGACTCCGGTGACGATGAGGACGCCGGAGGGGACAGAAGGGGCGTGAAGCGGGAGAGAAGTGAGGACGGTCAGACCTCCGGGGGGCCGAACCGGGCCTGCAGCGGCGGAAACCCCGCGGTTTCTGGAGCAAAACCCGGGAAGAAGACCCGTGGCAGGGTCAAGATCAAGATGGAGTTCATAGACAACAAACTGAGGAGGTACACGACCTTCAGCAAGAGGAAGACTGGGATCATGAAGAAGGTGAGTGTGATAGGAAGACCTACTGCAGGAAACTGGACCCAGACCGTCCTGGATCACTGAGCTTAGCTCCTGCATGCTGGTCTGAGACAAGCAGACAGGGAAGGTCCGAATAGGGACACCCTCTTTGTGGTTTCAGCTGTGAAGGGATCAGAAAATAGATCTGAGCAGAAGTGGCTCATAGTAGAAAGTTGTGAATAGAAGCAGCAGGTTCCCATCTAAGTGGTTCTGTTCTGGTCCTGCAGGCGTACGAGCTTTCCACGCTGACAGGAACGCAGGTGCTGCTGCTGGTCGCCAGCGAGACGGGCCACGTTTACACATTTGCCACCAGGAAGCTGCAGCCCATGATCACGTCTGAGACGGGAAAGGCTCTGATCCAGACCTGCCTGAACTCTCCGGACTCCCCGCCCCGCTCAGACCCATCCACTGACCAAAGGATGAGCGCCACAGGCTTCGAGGAGACTGACCTCACCTACCAGGTGGTGGAGACGGACAGCAGCCCGGAAGGTCCAAAGGTACCAGTGGGGAGACGGGGTTCTGTTCAGGGCATATCGGGTCTTCTTCATGTCGTCTGCTCTTGTGTCTGCAGGATCTGGCCAAACCGACCTTCAGCCTTCCCGTCTCCATGCAGCCACAGCCAGCCTCCTCTTCATCAGCAACCCTGCAGATGCAGACCAGCACGTCCTCCTGGCAGCCGCCTGCCTCCTCCAGCAACGGGACGGTGCTGAAGACCTCAGCAGGTGTGGTGCTGCCTGGAGGGATCACCTTGATGTCAGGTGGGGTTCCCTGGTCCTCACATGGACGTAGGGTGGTTCAACTTCCTGCTCCACCTGTTGGGAAGAACCTGTCTGCAAAACACTGTTCTTGTTCTGCTCTCTGCTGTTCATATTCTCACTGATCTGTAGCTCCGCCCCCTCCTTCCACCTGTCCACAGGTGCCCAGCTGGCCCCTGGTGCCCACTCCATCCCCCTCAGTCAGCTGCAGGGCCAACCTGTGAACCTGCAGGGCCCCTCGCCGGCCCCCACGGCCACGCTTCAGGCTCCGACCACATTGCTCCGCCTCCCCGCCGCTTTGTCGCTGACAGGTCAGAACAAGCTCCGCCCCCTGCTCCATCTATATGGAGTGAATTTTGTTCCGTTATTAAAATTGAAGAACAGGTTTTATAAATTAAGATAAAAAATAAAAAATTAAAAAACCCGCAATTCATAAACTAAAGTTTTTGATCAAAAAAAGTGGTGTTGGTGTTTTCTTAGATTTTTTATTTTTTTTTTCATTATTATTTTACTTCACATTTTATATCTTAAATGTAATTTTTATAAACTTAAGCTTCTCAATAGTTTTTTTTTTTTGGCAGATTATGTATTTTTAGATAATTTCCACTACACGGGTTGCAGATGCAGAAATACATCTTTGCTTCTCACTCCAGAGGAAAGCCGCTCAGAAGTAAAAAGAATTTGATCTGGAAAAGGCAAATTGAATAGAATCCTCTTTTTGTAATTGAATCTGAAGAAGAAAACATATTAATATATAACACCTGTAAAAAAATAAAATAAAAATAATGATAAAAAAGTTGAAAACTAAAACTTTGAAAAATAAATTTTATTTTTTGAAAATTACAATCTGAGAAGATGCAAAATAAGTCTTAAAAGTTTTATTATTAAGACATTTTTCTAAGTTTAATTACTGGATTCCATTTTTGTTAAAATTGAATAAGATTCACTCCACACCTTCAAAGCGTCTTATATTTCTTGATCTAAACGTAATATCAACCAAAACCTGTTCAGCTGCGATCAGGTGAAGCCATGATGACATTAAGAGGGAAATGAACACGGACCAAGTGTTTCTGAGTTTGGATCAGAGCCACCAACATTATTTCTGCTTCGATTTGGAGAAAACGGAACCAGATTTTTTTTCCTCTGATTAAAATCTGTGGCCCGGTTCAGACCCAAGTCTTGGTTTCTTTCCCAGACTAACTTGGTTCTGTTCTAAACATTATCAGATTCAGGTTTTTAACAACAGTTTTGGTTCTTCACATCCTAACAGAGCAAACTCCACCAGTGTGGATCGACATTTTTCTGAGCTTTCTTTTTTTCCTGTGTTTTAAAGCTGCTTATTTTTTTATTTTATTTTTTCATGCGTGAAACAGATTGGATCATCAAGGTCCAACCAGTCCCAGTTCTGAAGAAGTTGGGTTCAGTTTGTTTGTCAGTTGGTTAAAGTCTGTCCGAGGAAACCTGCTTGATTTTAACCCAGCAGTCACTTTACAGCCATCTCTCCTCCTGACCAGCAGGGGGCAACACTTAAAAAAAAAAAATCTCTGAATGGGCAGAGTATAAATAAAAGTACATTTTATTTGGGATGTTAGAAGAAGACGTAGACTCCTGACCCGTTCAGCCTCTATTGGTTCTGGTCCTTCTGGGCTCAGGTGTGGTTCTGTCCGTTCTGCAGGAGGCGGAGTCTCTCAGCAGCTGCAGACCATCCAGGTTCAGCCCAGCATTCAGCAGGCATCCAATCAGAGCAGCGTGGACACTCTAAGCTCCACCTCCTCGTCCTCCACAGGTGAACCCACTGCCTCCAAAGACGAAGGCTTTTATTTTGACGGCGGCTCTGATCCACTTCCTGTGTCTCTTTGCAGCCAGCATCCCTGTCACCATCGTCTCCTCTTCCTCCCCCTCCTCTTCCTCCTCCGCAGTGGCAGGTCACATGATGTACCCCGGGGGTCACACGGTGATGTACGCCACGTCCGCACCCTCTCTGGGGGACCGCAGTCTGGCTGTCCTCAACGCCTTCCCCCCCGGCCACAGCCAGTCACATGAACCAGGTATCATCATTTGGCATTCGAATTGGATCAGAACCAGAACATCCTCATATTTGATTGCTTTGTTTGTGGTTTCTGTGGAACAGGTTCGGTTCAGCAGGTCTTCCTCACTCCTCTTCCTCCAGTCGCCGGTCAGATTCCAGTTTCTGCTGTCCAGCTGCACCCGGTAGCTAAACCTCGCTTATTCTCCTTCCTCTACATGTAGCGAGGATCGTTTGTTGACTCCTATTGATTATTAGTCATTTTCAACCATTCCTCCAAAGTTAGTGGATCTTATCGATTGGCCAATGATCAATTAATGAGCTGCCATTTTCTTATAACCTGAGTTCTTTTGTATTTAGAAGATATTTTTAGAAAATCAAAGGCTAAACATTTATGTACAATGTTGTGTAATTTGTATTAAATACTTTCTTCTAGAAAAAAAGCAAACTTTTCTTTCACCTTATAAATCTACACATATTTATAAGATAGAGGAGAACCTATTGAGTTTCTGAAGAACAGCCTCCTCAACCTCTGTTGGAGGAAGCACCTGCGCCGCCTCCTGGTGGTAACCTGACTCTGCCAGATGGATTTGCTCCGCATTTCCATCTGGAAACCTTCGGTTGAAGTAATTTTGGGAAAGGGCGAAAATACTGGTTAGCTGATTGGCCTATGTTGGTGATAGACAGGCCAAATAAACCAATCAGATCAACGAAGCATATGACGTACTAACAGCCAGGCTACTCTTGCAGAAACCAGTCGGGAGAAGAGCAAAAACATCTTTTCCTCTGAGAAAAGCCTCCAGAGCAGTGTTTTGCTCTTCTTTCAGTGAAGAAATACTCTGTAATTCCGATAAAACTTGCTCGATAGCCACGCTAACGCTAGTTTCATGGGCTAAAGCCGCCATGTTCTTTAGACTGAACTGTCACGCTTCTCGTTGCGTCACACCTCAACCCGCCTCAAAGCCAACGCTGATTGGACGTTCGTTTGGTGAACGGCTCCAAATTTTCTTCAACGGAGAGTCTCCAGACTGATTAGCGAGTGAAATCTTGAAAGCTTGCGAGATCAGGATGGTCTCACGAGGCTATGCTTGTGGCAGGTGTCCGGAATATCTCCCAAGAGAGGCGTCCAGGGGGCATCCGAAAAAGATGTCCTAGCCTTCTCGGCTGACTCCTCTCGATGTGGAGGAGAAGCGGCTCTACTCTGAGACTCTCCCAGATGACCCAGCTAAGGAAGTGCCCTTCCATCCTGCAGAGAAAGCTCATTACAGCAGCTTTTATTCAGTTTCTCGTTCGGTCATTATCCAGCTTTCAGGACCATAGATGAGTGTAGGAACGTAGACCGACCGTTAAATCGAGAGCTTTGCCTTTGCTCAGCTCTCTCTTCACTACAACAGACCAGTGCAGTCCGCATTATAGCAGCAGCCAAACCGATCGGTCCATCCTTCTCCTGCAAATCACTCATTTATCGTATTGTTTTTCATTTCAGTTTTAGATTTCTAGTCATGATAACAATTTTGATTTGTTGTCTTAACAATAAAACAGAATTATTTTTTTATTTACTGGTGAACATTCGCAGTCATCCAATGTTGTAGTCATTCCAAAAAAGTAAAAGAAAAAGAATCCACTAGACTTTTTTTTTTTACAAGTTTGAAGACGTTTGACTTCCCGTCCAGCAAGCTTTTTCAATTCAAAATGTCAGGGATGGCGTGGAGTTCGAGGCTGTATTGAGAGGACCAAAAACAAAAGCTGGTTTTGGCTCAGAAACATGCAAATTGAACCGGATGAACGGGTCCGCCACTTTGGAATGGGGGTCGTTTGGTTTCTTTGTAAATACCCCATACCTGTCTATGTCTCTGAAAGAGGGGTCTTTAAAGGGAATTGTCTTCTTTATTTTCTTCTCAATTCAAATGTCTGACATTTGAATTGAGAAAGCTTTCTATTTGGGCATGGCAAATTTGAAGAATTTAATTAAATGTGGTTACTACACATGCTTAATATAAATAACTTTATTCATCCTGTGTTCTCAAGATGTCTAGTTTAAATTTGTATATTTATTCAAGAGTAGTGTTTTTTTTATTGTGGAGCTACGATTGCTGTAGCATCTAAGAACGACTTCAAAGGGTCAATGAGGTATTTTTATCATCGATTTTTTTTTTTTTTTTTTTTTTTTTTATCGACATCAGATTGCACCACAAGTATATTGTGATAAGACCTAAGGCCATATTGGCCAGCCCTAAACAGCGGGATAAACCTGCCTAGATAAATGTTCAGTAAACCATGTCTATAACCATATTTGGACCAGAACCAACCCTGCCTGATGTCTGTCTGTCCAGATGGTGATCAGCCAGCCCAGCAGCAGCAGCAGCCTAACAGAGCTCCAGGTCGTCAGTATGGACGTCCACCCATCCAAAGATGATTGACGGTCACATGACCCCACAGACGGTGCCATCACGGGCTGCTGAGACCTGTTGACGTTTCCCGATGCTCTGGACATGTTTAATGAGAAGGAATCTTTTTTGGTGGGACCCAGTATCAATGGACACTTTCAAAATAAAAGCCTCTCGCTTCCTGGAAAGATTCCAGAAGAAAACGTCATTGGGATTACTAGAACTGAACATGAGCTCAACTTTATTCACACACTGCTGATGGACAGACAACAAATCGTTCCAAATGAATGGACCTGGACCCAGCTGGGGCCCAGTTCAAATTAGAACTGAATCAGTGAACTGAACCGGGTCAGTCTTTGCAATCATGGACCGTCTAACTGCCTGATGTGCAGCGGCCTAATAACGGCTGAACTTAACTAGTAGCTGGTATCAGTTTCCGACCCAGTGTCCCCGTTTGGTGACAGACTCCACCTCTGCAGAACGGAGCGCCTGTCAGGATGGTTCTGATGATGAACATGTCTCTAATTCCAGCTGACCGAGTCAGACCCGCGCAACTTTGTTTCTACGAAGACTGTTGGTGTTTGTATAAAAAGAAATAAAGTTTTTATTCAATCTGGAACGTTCATCTTGTGCCTGGTGTATTGTAACCATGGTTACCAGAGGGAAAGAAGTCACAACCTGGAGAGGTGCAACAACCAGCCCAGCCTGTAGAGCCAAAAGCACCCAAAGCGTGGTCTGCTCAGGTCCCAACAGACACTGTGTTCTGAAGCATTTGGCCAAGTTTTACCCAACTTGTTTAACTCTGTAGGTACCGATAGAGGTCAGGGTCACGTCTACAGCGTTTTCACTTTTCCCACGTCTCACGGATTCTCTTATTAGAATAACAGACTTAGAGTTTATGTTGTCATTTTGTACACACAAGTGTATACAAAGATAGATTTCGTTTAGCACTGCTCTCTAGACTTTTTTTCATTTTTTAAAGTGCATGCCTTGATAAAGGTAAGCAGCAGTGATAAAAACACTGATGGAAAAAAAAAAGTGCTGTAAACATACGACTTTATAGTTACAGTTCCAACATTCAGGTTTGTTTGTTTTTATTACCCATCTTTGTAACATCTAGCAGTCTAATGGCAGTGGGGAAGAAACTGTTCTGGAATCTGCTAGAGCTGCGTCGGATGCTTCAAAGTCTCCTTACAGAGGGCAGCAGGGAGAACGGTCGATGGTGGGGGTGTGAGGGGTCATTGACGATGTCACAGACTCGACACTGGGATGAAATATCTTTAATGGAGGGAAGAAAGAGGAGCCCCGATGATCCTCTCTGCTGTTCTCACCACTCTTCTTACCTTCTTCCAATCTGAGGCGCTGCAGCCTCCACCCCACACAGTGAGACAGCTGGTCAGAACGCTCTCTATGGTGCTTCTGTAGAAGGTGGTGAGGAATGGTGGGGGCAGGTGGGCTCTCCTCATCCTCCGCAAGAAGTACAAGCGCTTCTGGGCCTTTTGATCAGTGAGGTGGTGTTTACATTCCAGGTGAGGGTGTCTGTGGTGTGCACCCCCAGGAATTTGCTGCTGACCACCTCTACAGCTGAGCTGTTGATGACAAGTCAACACACCTGTATGATTGCAATATTTAGAGGCTTGATCTGAAGCAAAGTTGAAATTGAGTTTAGTAGATTTATTTATAAAAATTTCAGTTTCATAATTGATTATATTACATTATATGCGAACACTGGAAAAACAGATTCCCAAAGTAGAAGTCAGGACCCCTCAGAGCGTCATAAAACACGAAGTGAGCAGTCGTGAAAAAAATTAATCATTGTTGTGTGATACTTGAGGTATATGGAGGCCAAAATGTATCAAGAAATACATACACTATATTGCCAAAAGTATTTGCTCACCTGCCTTGACTCACATATGAGCTTAAGTGACATCCCGTTCCTAATCCATAGGGTTCAATATGACGTCGGTCCACCCTTTGCAGCTAGAACAGCTTCAACTCTTCTGGGAAGGCTGTCCACAAGGTTTAGGAGTGTGTTTATGGGAATTTTTGACCATTCTTCCAGAAGCGCATTTGTGAGGTCGCACACTGATGTTGGACGAGAAGGCCTGGCTCTCAGTCTCCACTCTAATTCATCCCAAAGGTGTTCTATCGGGTTGAGGTCAGGACTCTGTGCAGGCCAGTCAAGTTCATCCACACCAGACTCTGTCATCCATGTCTTTATGGACCTTGCTTTGTGCACTGGTGCACAGTCATGTTGGAAGAGGAAGGGGCCAGCTCCAAACTGTTCCCACAAAGTTGGGAGCATGGAATTGTCCAAAATGTCTTGGTATGCTGAAGCATTCAGAGTTCCTTTCACTGGAACTAAGGGGCCAAGCCCAGCTCCTGAAAAACAACCCCACACCATAATCCCCCCTCCACCAAACTTTACACTTGGCACAATGCAGTCAGACAAGTACCGTTCTCCTGGCAACCGCCAAACCCAGACCCGTCCATCAGATTGCCAGATGGAGAAGCGCGATTCGTCACTCCAGAGAACGCGTCTCCACTGCTCTAGAGTCCAGTGGCGGCGTGCTTTACACCACCGCATCCGACGCTTTGCATTGCACTTGGTGATGTATGGCTTGGATGCAGCTGCTCGACCATGGAAACCCATTCCATGAAGCTCTCTGCGCACTGTTCTTGAGCTAATCTGAAGGCCACATGAAGTTTGGAGGTCTGTAGTGATTGACTCTGCAGAAAGTTGGCGACCTCTTCGCACTATGCGCGTCAGCATCCGCTGACCCCGCTCCGTCAGTTTACGTGGCCTACCACTTCGTGGCTGAGTTGCTGTCGTTCCCAAACACTTCCATTTTCTTATAATACAGCTGACAGTTGACTGTGGAATATTTAGGAGCGAGGAAATTTCACGACTGGATTTGTTGCACAGGTGGCATCCTATCACAGTTCCACGCTGGAATTCACTGAGCTCCTGAGAGCGACCCATTCTTTCACAAATGTTTGTAAAAACAGTCTGCATGCCTAGGTGCTTGAATTTATACACCTGTGGCCATGGAAGTGATTGGAACACCTGATTCCAATAATTTGGATGGGTGAGCAAATACTTTTGGCAATATAGTGTATATGTAATTGTGCAATCAAATAAATGTATTATGAGATATGTAGATGTTGTTTACAACATTACCAGAGCCTCATGCCATCTGAGTGCGACAGTAGTTTCTTTACTGGAGTTTTTCCACAATGTGTTGAAAGCAAATATATTTAGGAGCTAACTCATGGGATGTCTCTAGATGTTTCCATTTACATAGATGATCGGGCTCCTCACCCTATCTCTCAGGGAGAGCCCAGCCACCCTGCAGAAAAATCTCATTTCCACCGTTTGTATCTAGGATTTCATCTTTGGGTCATGACCCAAATTTCATGATTGTAGGAAAGTAGACCGAATGGTAAATGGAGAGCTTTGCCTTTTCGCTCAAAAGTTTTCACTCCCAGAGAATGCGATCTGTCAAATTCAAATAGCAAAGAATGCAATTCATAAAACATATCTGAAAATTCGAAATTTGAAAATAAATTAAATAAATGAATAACAATTTTGAAAGAAAAAAAAAGAAAAACAAATATCTGGGAAAATAGCCAAGTAACTAACAAACCCATTTTTTAAGTTGAAAAATATTTCAAAGTATCATTACTGGATTGCATTTTTTTCATATTTCTATTTACAAAAGTTGTGATTTGCAAAAATGATGGAACAAAGTTCACTCCATGGAGTCCTGGCTGTTTCATTTAGACCAGAGTGAATCTGAAACCTAAATATCAATCTTATAACACCGATGCTAAGACATTTACCTAGTTTCCTCATCACTTCAATGGTTTCTATTATTAGGCTACTTTTCCCCTAACCTGACTCTGCCAGATGGATTTGCTCTGCATATCCATCTGGAAACCTTCCGTTGAAGTAATTTTGGGAAGGGGCGAAAATACTGGTTAGCTGATTGGCCTATGTTGGTGATAGACGGGCCAAATAAACCAATCAGATCAACGAAGCATATGACGTAACAGAGCGACGACGAAGAGGAGCCAATTGATAGATCAAACTCTTGCCGAAACCAGTCGGGAGAAGAGCAAAAACATCTTTTCCTCTGAGAAAAGCCTCCAGAGCAGTGTTTTGCTCTTCTTTCACTGAAGAAATACTCTGTAATTCCGATAAAACTTGCTCGATAGCCACGCTAACGCTAGTTTCATCGGCCGAAGCCGCCATGTTCTTTAGACTGAACTGTCGCGCTTCTCGTTGCGTCACACCTCAACCCGCCTTAAAGCCAACGCTGATTGGACATTCGTTTGGTGAACGGCTCCAAATTTTCCTCAATGGAGAGTCTCCAGACTGATTAGCGAGTGAAATCTTGAAAGCTTGCGAGATCAGGATGGTCTCACGAGGCTACTACCCACTGCCTCTCCTGATTGTTGGTGTTCTTGTTCTGCTTCTCAAACCAAGTCAGCTAAATTTCTTTTTCATTTTTTAACGGATGTTTATGACAATAAAATAAATAATCTTGCTATAGTAATGTGATTTCAGAAAAACTGTGAATGGACGTTCTCCTATTTTGCCAATTGGATTCTAGTTTTTAGTGTCCATGATACCTAAGGGATCAGGTAACCCCAGAATCAGAGTAACATCTGCTCGTGAAGATTCTCAGTCATCCAGGTCATAGTCATTCCAAAAAAGTAAAAAAAAAAAACAAACCATTGGACTTTGTTTTCCAAGTTTAAAGTTTCCAAGTTTAGTTCTGACATTTTGAATTGAAAAAGCTGGATGGGAAGCAAATTGTCTTCAAACTTGGGAAACAAAGTCCAGTGCATTGTTTTTTTTTTTTTTTACTTTTGCTGATAGAGTAACATTTCTATTTGGATGTAACTTGGCTGACGGATGAAACTTGTGCACTGATCTAAGGCCGGTGATTTAGATCAAATTAGAAGGATAAAATTAAGTATTTGGTTTAAAATTATTGCAGCTACAACGTTTTGCTTGTGAATTATTCTTATTTGTTCTAATCATCGCTCCTAAAATCAGCGCAGCAGTCCTACATTTTCACATCCACTGAAGTTAAACACTTGGTTAGGAAACAAATCTCCCTTTCCAATATGGCGGAGAAATGGACGCGTCGCAGGATTGTCTAACTACGTCATCCGGGTATGGCTACGTCATTTCGGCGACACGTGGGTTGGTGTTAGCGGTTATCTGAGCAGCGCGGTGGTTTGTAATTCTAACTAGATCTATCAGGTCGGAAACCCAGAAAACGATGGCTTCTGTCGGGACACAGGGCAGGAAGAGGCTCCTGAAGGAGGAGGACATGACCAAGGTGGAGTTTGAGACCAGCGAGGAGGTGGACGTCACCCCCACGTTCGACACAATGGGGCTCCGGGAGGACCTGCTCCGCGGGATCTACGCCTACGGTAGGTCCGGGCTTCCCTGCGGCCTCCTAGTGAGTTAGCTCTGGATGCTAATGCTAGCCCTCTTCCCTTATTGATTTGGTTGATATTCGGTTAATCAAAGCTCTGACTTCCACTCTAGATAACTAACTAAAGTCCTATTTAATGTAGATGCTCTTCAGGGAGTAGATGATT